TTAGGAATCACCTATGTAAGTGTGAAGTGTTAGCCGCTTCAAGAAAAATTTTGCAAGGTCAGTTCTCTACGCACTTATGAAACCAGGTGGTGTTCATGGCTGAAACAAACATAACAATAAGAACCAAAAACGATTAAGGGTTGATTATGTGACTCATGGTTGTCTAGGTATACACCAAAGTTCGTTGGTTCAAAGATATCAAATCTACCGATTGATTGAGTATATCCGACATAAGTTCACTACGAAAAGTTCAAAGGGAAACCTACTGATCCAAAAGCGATTAATCATTGCTTGTAAATCACACAGTATTTCATGCATATTTCTGTGATATAGACATTCCCCATTCATGTGGGAGATTGTTGGGTTTTAAGCTTATTAGAGCTTAAAAATAGAGTGAATGAGAACTGGAGGGAAAAATAAAAACTTTGAATTTTCCTCTTTGACAAAGGGGCATTGTCCCATATTAAAGGAGGAAAAAGAGTTTTGATGGGTATATATACAATTGCACTTCTTGTAGCTCTTAAAGAGTTGAGAAGAAGGCAAGTTTCGCGCCGTCGTCGCTCACTCGGTTCGCTTTCGGTTTTAGATTTTTTGATTGATTGATTAACTTTTTGGACCAAATTTATTTGTTAATATTAACGCAATATATTTAATCCAAATTAGACAGTTTCTATAACGATAATTTAATTTTTCGTCCGTTTTAATTTTTCAGTTATAATTTGAATTTGGCGGTTTGCGTAAATAGACGTTTTATAAACAGCCATTTTGAGTTGCAGCCTTACATGAAGAGTTGCAACTCTTCGGTATTACCCAACATTTTGGCTATAAATACATGAACTTTCCCTCAAATTTTCCTTATGAAAATTTTGATTTCTCCTTCTTCATTCTGCATTGTTTTAAACAGAAAGAAAGCAACAAGTATGATTTGCTACTGATCTTTGAGTTCGTTGGTCACTAGGGTTTGAAGAACCGCTACACCAGTAAGGGTAATTCATTCTATCATAGGAGAACATAATCCTAAACCTCGGGTACTAGGAGAGAATTAAATTTCTTAAGTAAATAATGTAAATTCAGTAGTATCGGATTAATTTCGTTCTTCTACCTTTCTGGTTTTACATCGTTTCTATTTTTGAATATATTTCGAATATAAAGTACTAACAGCCAGCACAGTACAAAGAAGGTTTGGGGGAGGAGGGGGGGAGCATTTATTTGGGATGTTTGAGTATCTGCTAGTGTTTTTGTCACCCCATAGTTGGTAAGGGAAAGAAGCAAAGTTGGTGGCGGCCTGGATTTGTGATATTCCTTATAATGGAATTGGTTACGATAGCCACTTTCATAGTCATCAATCCTCAACCAATTATTACTAAATTGCTGATAAAGCATGGGATAGGGTAATGATTCCATTAATTAGTGTGCTTCTCTTGCCCAGTGAGGAGAGGACAAAGCCCCACAACTATGTTATGTAATAGTCAAGGAACAGAACAAATAAAGTAAAATACAATTACTGTTGCTCAGTTTATTTTGAAAGGTAGATATGTATGGTAGAATGTTTTATCTTTTTTGTGCAAAAAAATCTTGTATATTAAACCTAAACAGAAGTCATTACGTAGTTATTAATACCACATAGCAAGAATAATATGACATTACGTAGTTATTACTCCTACAAACATGCTAGTAATATGAATAATAGATTGAAATCGTAAAAGAATAAATTCAAATAGCTGCCNTATATAATTCTTGTAAAATATATGTATAACCGTGTTTAATCAATGTATATTCTATGTATATCAATTATACGACCGGTTATTTGGGCAAAGATCCCTCGATCATATTCCAACATCCAATTTTACATATGTGATCTCTTATAATTTCTACAATGCCCCTTTCCCTGGATTCCTAAGGATGCCCCGGAATGTTTTGTCAATGATTCGATTTTTTTGTAGGCTCAGGTTGTAACATGTACGAGAAACAATTATTGAAATGTTTTTGTTTTGTTATTTTGGGCTGTTAAGTAAAGATTTGGCCACTTGGCAGTTAAAACCTCTCCATTACCATATTTCTCACTATTCTCCAACGGAAAAGAAAAAAACTAGAAACGGTAAAAACTACAGAAATTGGCAAATTCTTTGAGAGAGGAGGAGGAAACAACTTTTAGAGAAGGAACAAAGAGAACCATTACCTCAGTACAAATATAGAATTTTTTGTAAAGTGATATTAATATTTAAAGAAGTAAACAATTGAAGAGCAACAATAACAATACAATACGTCCAGAATTTACAAATTATATAGAAAGAAGAGCAGTTTTTCAAAACTAAAGTTCTAATAACAGTTAAAGTTACGCTGGAAATATATTTATTTCCAAAAGTATAATTTATTTATTATCACTTTTATTGACTACGAAAGGCTCTTTGGCATGTAGGTTTTGTAATTCTCGCTAAGTTGGAGGTCAAAGGCTATATTTATTATAATTTCATCTTTTTGCATTATTTATTTGTATATTTAGTAAAATGTTTTAAAGAATGGGTAATATAGAAATAGGTGCATCCGCCCTTGACAACAAGCTTTTCTCACAAAAATTGCACTTGAAACACATGTTTTTTTTCTATTTAATTTTTATTATTCTCTTTAGGAATGATTCTTAGTGCTTAGATATGTCATTTTACTAGTGCGTCAAACGTTATCCATTTACAGATCAATTATATCTTCTTTTTCGGTACTAATTTAACTTATTGAAATTGTTACTTTTGTTGCAAATGATTTTAAGACGATAGATGTATACATGGACTTATAGCTTGTTTGGATGGTCATATATATCATTTCATAATTATCGTATAGTGTTGTTTGGATAAACACAATGTTGGGATACATTGTATCGTTTGTTGTCGTATGTTACGCACAAGCAATACGAAGAATAAACTTATAATATTACAAAGAAAATTAAGGTAAGAGATAAAATTATTATATAAAAAGTAGGGTAAAGAATAAAATAGGATTATTTAATAATAAGGAAGGGCAAGATAAGAGATAAAAATAAGGTAACAACGTGACCATACCAAATCGATCATACATAACGTGACACTTTTTTATGTAACAACAAATTTAATGATACGATATAATAAAATTAAAGTAACAATCAAAACAAACATTGTATTTTAAGTAACAGTCAATACAATAAAATAGGTAACAACCATCCAAATATGTAAAAGCAAGACAAAAATGGTATCCCTCCGATTAAAAACAAAGATATCTAGAAAAAAATAAATGAAATTTCAAAGAAGCATCCAACGTTGATTCCGTACATTAAGCTTTCACTATGTGCTAAGTTCTTGCTTTTTCTTTTAATCCAAGCTTAATCTTAAGGTGATGAATCAATTATGTCTGCTTTAGCCTCTAGGATTACTCTTCAACTTGTGAAACGCATGCACTTCTGGCTCACCTCGTGTTATTTACACTAACTTGATTTTTTTTTGTTTGGAATGGGCTCTCCACTAAATGATCTCTTTCAAGAAATATACATGCTGTTTAAAAAACTCATATATATGTGTGTGTTTTTTAGCCTAAAATAATATAGAGTAGCACCCCCACTGCCAAACGCTACACCCCAACACTTGTTGGCACTATTTCCTCTTCTTTGACTCCTTTATTGCTTTTTTTTTTTTTTTTTTTATTT